TTGAATCGAGTTTTAAGAGATTTATTCATGCGCGACTTGCCGAATATCGAAGCAGATCTTGGTGCCCGAATTCCCGAACCAAGTCCTTTTAATCGAGTTCAACATAGACGAGCGCAAGGACGACGATCGCGCGAGGCTACTCGAAGACTGAACATGCTGCTACCATGAAGATCGTTCTAACTCTTCTCACCTGATGCATGCTACGAAGATACTCATCGCCTCAGGGTATTCGAATTCTATATGTGAATATACTCCCATTTATCACCTCACTCCTTTTGCAGTGGGTCTGACCCTATCACAAGGTGTCCCATTCTGGCTTGGATGAGATTCTGTCTGGGACTTGTGTGGGTAGGTGAACATCGTGTCGGGTTCGGATGACCTTTTGTCTAATGCAGGACTTCGGCGCGAATCAACGTTCGTGTGGTCTTCGGCTCGAATCAGCGTTCGTGTAGGTCTTCGACATGTTCGTATTAAAGGTTGGGTTTGTTTCATGTGTAATGCTGGACATTTCGGCTTGTGGCGAAGAGGGGGAGTGATATAGACTGTACGAAAGTGTCTTCTGTAGAAAAAGGCATGTCATGTAGAGTATACGACGTGGGCTGGAATGATTTTTGGAATGCCTAAATGTATCTTTGAACGTGTACTTCAATGATTTTTGGAAAGACTCCATGTACTTTGTGGATTATGGAAAGCTTCCGTGTACTTTGCAATTTTGTTCGGCACGAATCAGCGTTCGTGTAGGTCTTCGGCTTGAATCAACTTTTGTGTAGGTCTTCGACATATTCGTATTAGTGACAGGGTTTGTTTCATGTGTAATGCCGGATTTTTCGGCTTGTGGCGAAGAGGGGGAGTGATATAGACTGTCCGGAAGTGTCTTCTGTAGATAAGGGCATGTCATGTCGACTATACGACGTGGGCTGGAATTATTTTTGGAATGCCTACATGTGCCTTAAAACGTGACCTTCAACGATTTTTGGAAAGGCTCCATGTACTTTGTGAATTTTGGAAAGCTTTCGTGTACTTTGCAATTTTGTATTGATTTGTTTTTTGAAAACACCTCTATGTACTTTGCAATTTCCCATTGAATGATTTTTTTGCATTGAATGATTTCTGGAAACTCTCGTTGTGGTCGGCAACTTCACCTTTTAGAAAAACACTAGGCAACTTGAAGGCGATGACAAAAGTTACTTATAGGAATGGATATGTATCTTCTCCACACAAAGATTTAACGACATTTTCACCGGGTAATATGCAAATGACAAGCAAATGTCCATATTAAATCATCGTGCCGATGGTGTGCGCACCTGCTTCTCCATCTAAGTGCGAGTTCATTCTCACTTCTGGTGTGAACGACGAGCATCCTGCAACTGTTTCCCTCTCTCCTTTTCTTCAACTGCACCCTCCATCTAAGTGCGAGTTCATTCGCACTTTGAAAGAACGCATCGCACTTTGCTTCAACTTGACCTTTGCGAAAACAACAGGCAACTTGCAAATGTTTCCGTCTCTCCTTCTCTCCCGACTTCCACAAACGAACGGTCGGTAAGCACCTGCACATCACGAAACAAGAGCACGTCCCAATTGGAACATCGTCAGGTTCTTGCGATGTCGACTCCCGCATGATGACTACACTGAACAGCGGTAGGATGACCGGTCCGCCTCTCCGATGTGGATCTAATGGTGGATTGCGTTAAATATGCTCTCATAGATCCACACCGGGGATGGGGACCAGGATCCAAACACAGTTTGCTTGTAAGGCATCATATGATGTGTCGGTATAACCGACATCCAGAACTGCTTGGTGAGCATCTAGTGCTACGCCAATAAGTTTCAAACACGGTCGCAAAGTCCCCTAAGAATGTTCATTGTCGGTTCCTCACATCGTCGATTCCCACGTGATGAGAACAATAAACAACGGCAGAATGGCAGGTCCCCCTCGCCGGAATGGATCTAACGGTGGATTGCGTCAAATCTGCTCTCAAAGATCCACACCGGATACAAGGTCCTGCAATCAGTCGCTGCTTGCTGGTAAGCATCACATGATGTGTCCATACGATCGACATCCAAGACTGTTTGGTGAGCGTCTAGTGCTACGCCAAGTAGTTCTGTCGCAAGGTCCCCTTAGAATGCTCTTAGCACTAGAGACTTGAGACCGCCGACTGTTTGGCACTTCTTAAAGGTGGTCATTTCAACCGATGCAGAGGGCTCGTGGTCACTTTCATTGCTTGTATACGTGCCCGTGGGTGCTCGGCCTGGCATACATGTAGTGTTGTTTGACACTTCCTTACGGTTCTCTATCGAATGTTGTTCAACTAGAGTCTCTCTCTCTCTCTGTCTCTGTCTCTGTCTCTCTCTCTCCTGCCATGCTCGTTGATGTGCCTCTCGCCCGACTGGGTGCAGTGCGGTCGTGCGGTGGTGGTCGTGTTCAACAAGACGCCCGTCATCGGAGTTTCGACGGACGTCCTTGGGGGGCATGGTTACTTTCTTTCCCTGTGAGCTGGGTGGAAGCATTTGCTTAATTTTTTTTTTTGTGGCCTGCAGGGCATTTGCCGATCGCGATGGCCATGTCGGAGTTGATTATCCTGGGTGATTGGCATGAGCACATGGCATACCCTTTCCCACCATGCGCGCTGCGCGTCTCCGGCAGTGGAAACTCCACTGTTATTGACGGTGTAACAAGAGACGAGATGGAGTGTGATCCTTGGATGAAGGTCCCCTCGTTCACTGATGCTCCCCTGGACTCGTGGAAGGAGCTTGAATGGGACATAATGCTCAGGGAGTGTTCGTGGGCGGACGACTACAAGTTCGCTAACATGTGCGAGTTTGGGAGTTTCATTCCCGTGCCTAGAGATGTGCTGGGTTCAGTTCGGTGCCGTTGCTTGAGTGCAAAGCTGAACATTCCTCGTCATCAAAATGTGTTGGCCTGCAGTGTCGTGACTGCTTCGCCGCACACATGGTCCCGCTCGCTGAACCACGAGTTGCTTGCCTGTGCACGACATTCCGATTTCCTCGATCAGTACCCGTTGCACTCTCCAGGGCTGTAGCCTCGAGCAGTTTTCTACTGCTGCGTTAGATTGCGTCTCGGAAAGTTTTTCTTATCTAGGGCCCTTTGCATCGCGTGTTCGAATCGGAGTAGGACCTTGACTGACGTTGTGGTCTACGTGTCCAGGAATTAGTTGCACCTCGGGAGAGACGTTATCGGTTTGGTCACAATAGAATACAAAGGGACATGGGATTTGGTAATCGGGGGTAAGGTGGACGATGTGGACGCTTGGCGTGAGGTTGAAGCTCAAGCGTCCTCTATACGGGATGCTATAGGGAGGTCTCTGGCCGGAAGGACCGGGTTCGTTCGCATAAAATATATTTCTATGTTCGCGGAAGATGCTCCAGTCGATGCGCCGCAGTGTCTTACATTCAGGTCGCCTCTTCGAACTTTGAATGAACGCATGTACACACCGGCCTGTCGTCATCGGTAGAAGTGAAAGTTCTGAACGGATGTTACACGCCGATTTNTTTGAATGAACGCATGTACACACCGGCCTGTCGTCATCGGTAGAAGTGAAAGTTCTGAACGGATGTTACACGCCGATTTCCTTATACATTACACAAATGAGCTCATGGTGTGCGCACCTATCTCTCCATTTAAGTGCGAGTTCACTCGCACTTGCTGTGTGCACCACGAGCATTCCACTTCAGCGGTGTGACCACCTGTCTCTCCATCTAACTGCGACTTCACTCGCACTTGTGCTTTGAACCCTAAGCAATCGGCTTGAGTGAATGTCTTGACGACAGCGTGTGGGCGTGGCCACGACAGTTCCCGTTTGCCAACTGTGTTCATACACGTTGCCGTGCCCGTGTGTATCGTTTGGTATGTAGGGTGCGTAATGGAGGCGACCTTCTCGACACCACGAATCTTTGAGTCGATCTTCTTGACACCACAAACCATGAGTCCCGAAACGCACATTCACTTGGCAGAACCGTTTCCTCCTTGCGCGAGATCAGTGCGGCATTTCAATGGTGTGACTACGATCCACGGAGTGACTGCAGAGGACTTCGACGAGGACCCCTGGATGACCGTTGTCCCATGCATGGACGGGCATATTGACAATTGGTGCGATGGGAATTGGGCCACGATCGAGAGTCGCTGCCCTTGGGCAAGCCAGTACAAATTCGTCAATATGTTGGAGTTCGGGAACCTCATCCCGCTGTCTGACGCTATCCTCGGACACAAGTTCCTGAACCATATGCGCAGAGCACTGGGCTGCATTAGCCGCCATTTCATCCGCCTCGAGTGCCACTATGTCAGGTCGTCGCCACGAACTTGGGGAGGCTCGCGGAAACAAGAGTTGGTGGACTGCGCTCGTCACTGCTCGTTCCTGGACCAGTACCCGCTCTGGTACCCCGGGAATTCTCCACAAGTTGTGTCATACTGTTGTGTGCGATTGAAAGTATCCGGGTCTGATTTCGCCATAGTTCTATGTATCGCTGTGTCGAACAAGAGTAGGAAACTCGTCGATGCAGTTGTGCTTGTATCACGCAACGAGGTGGTAATTGAGGGGTCCAAATTCGTGCCGACGCGGGGGCCCGAACGTGTAGATGGGTGGCGAGATTTGGTTATAGCAGGGCCGGTCCAAAACTTTTCGTTGCATCATGAGGTCAAGGAGAAAGTGTCCGATATACGGGACTGTATAGGGAATTCCTTAGCACGACCGGGAGTGTTTGTCAGGGTGAAATACATGTCCGTCTTTTTGGAGAGTGCATCAGTCGACGAACCGCAGATCCGCGTGTATGGATCATCAATGAATGCTTTGTATGGCTTCGGTACACGACCTCGTCCCCGGGGAACCCCGAATGTCACTAGATCTGGACGTGTGGTCAGACTTAAGTGAGAGTTCACTCGCACTTTGCTTAAGTGAGGGTTAGCTCGCACGTAAGTGAGAGTTCACTCGCACTTTGATTAAGTGACGAGCTTGTCGATATATAGTGCGGGCGTGACGGTTGAGTGTTGGCCGCATCAGGGGACTTATTATTGGACAACTTTATTTACGACGGTCTACATGTCCGTTTGTGTCGTTTGTGTGTCCGTGATGTGTAGGGAGCGTAATGTTGTCGAGACCTTCGACAAGCGTCAGCGTGAGTCCCGAGACGCAGATGCGCTTGAGTCCCGAAAAGCACATGCGCTTGGCAAAACCGTTTTCACCTTATGCGACATCGGTGCGGCATCATGACGGTCAAACGTGGACCGACGAAGCAGCCAAGGAGGACTTCGACTTCGACGAGGACCCATGGATGCCTGTCAAACCGTACATGAACTGGCATCTCGACGAATGGAACGATAATGATTGGAAGGCGATGGAGCGTGCCTGCCCTTGGGCAAGCCATTACAAGTTTGCCAACATGTTAGAGTTCGGGAGCCTTATTGCACTGCCTGATGGTGTCCTCCAGCGAAAGACCGTGGACGATAAGGGTAAACCGATCCGCTACCGTACCAGCTTCAGACGTCGCCTCGGCTGCGAGTACATCACATCTTCGCCACGAACTTGGGGAAGTTCGCAGAAGCAAGAGTTGGTGGACTGCGCTCGTCATTATTCATTCTTGGAACACTACCCACTCCGTTGCCCAGGGACTTCTCCACAAGCTCTATCGTACTGTTGTGTGCGGTTGACGGATGACGGATGTCCTTTCGCCAGAGTGCTATGTGTGGCTTCTTCAAGCAAAAGTAGGAAACTTGTGGATGCGGTTGTGCTTGTGTCACGCAACAAGATTGTGCTTCAGGGATCCAAGTTCAAGGCGGTCATGTCTCGCCCAGATGTAGATGGGCGGTCAGACTTGGTGAGAGTAGGTCAGGTAATAGTTTTTTTGTCATTGTGGCGTGACGTGGAAGAGAAAGTGTCTGAAATACGTGACTGTATAGGGAATTCCTTAGCACGACGAGGAGGGTTTGTCAGGATGAAATACATGTCCATGTTTTCGGAGACTGCAACGGTCCACGAACCGCAGAGCCACGTATATGGATCATCTATGAATGTCATGTATGGCTTCGGTTCACGACCTCGTCCGCGAGAAACCTTATATGTCACAAGGTCCGGACGGGTTGTCAGACTTTGTGTTTAAGGGAAAACATGTTGTGTGCGGTTGACTGATGACGGGTGTCCTTTCGCGAGAGTGCTATGTGAGGCTTCTTCAAACAAAAGTAGAAAACTCATGGATGCAGTTATGCTCCTGGCACGAAACGAGATGGTACTTCAGGGATCCAAGTTCAAGCCCGTGATGTCTCCTCTCGATGTAGATGGGCAGTCAGATTTCGTGAGAGCAGGTCGGGTCAGATGTTTATCATTGTGGCATAAGGTGGAAGAGAAAGTGTCCGACATACAAGACTATATAGTGAATTCCTTAGCACGATCAGGAGGGTTTGTCAGGATGAAATACATGTCCATGTTTTCGGAGAATGCAACTGTCCACGAACCGCAGAGCCACATATATGGATAATCTATGAATGCCATGTATGGTTTCGGTTCACGCCCTCGTCCGCGAGAAACCCCGTATGTCACAAGATACGGACGTGTGGTCATACCATGTGTTTAAGGGCAATTGTAATTCTAATGAACTCTTCTGGTTTTACAGCTATCTTGTGCCATGTCGCGATGTTACGTTGTCTTACGATGTCGTGTCGTGTACTTCTATGACCTTGTGTTTAACGGAAAACATATTAAAATACAATCTTGTGGAACATGATGTGCATGTGCACCTTGAAATGGTGGATATGCAGACAATCACACGTTGCCTCTTGCATCTATTGCAACTATTGCCTCTCACACATCTATCTACTACTTCATACACGTTGCCTCTAGCACCTATTGCAACGCCTCTCAAACCTCTATCTACTACTTGTTTTTTGCTTCGAACGTTTATCTGGAAACAACCCCTGTCTACTTTGCAATGTGCGGTTCAGTGGTTTGAACATTTTTTCCAACTCTGCGTGCGCTGTTTCCATTTTAGATGGTGCAGTGTAAGGAGAAGACTATGCAAGTTGCGAGTGTTTCCATCTCCACGTTGTGGTGACAAGAGTAAATGTTCTAAATGGATGTTATGTATCTTGCCCATGCAAAGAAATGACACGAGTGTTTTGATCTCCGATGTTCATGCCAATGTCTTACAGCCTTATACATGCTCATGTCAAGGAGGGGATCGATGTTTGCGATGACAAGAGTGAATGTTAGGAATCTATGTTATTGATTTGTCCATGCAAATGACAAGCCAGCATTTGTATTATATCACCGCGCTGATGGTCTGCGTTCATGTTGTCCATCTAAATGAGAGTTCACTTCGACTTGTGGTGTGTACCCCGAGCAATCCGCTAGTTGTCCATGCAAATGTCCAAGAACTGATAACCTGCGGGATCAGGAGTTCAATTCTGTTTTTTTAGTGTGAAACTCTGCTCGAAATAGATCCAAATCCAATAGGAAGTCTCGCCACAGACCAAGGTTCCCTTATAGTGCGTGGCCATCCGCACAGACCGCTGCTCAGTCACCAAACCGATATCTGCGAATTGATTCGCTGTTCAACTAGTATCTGTCAATGCATTTCCAGGTCTCTCTCTCTCTCTCTCTCTCTCTCTCTCTCTCTCTCTCTCTCTCTCTCTCTCTCTCTCTCTCTCTTCTCTCTCTCTCTCTTTCTCTCTTTCTCACGAATAGTGCTATTGGCAATCGGCATCGAGAGCAAACGACTGTTTGCCACTTCCTTAAGGTGCTCTGTCGAACACCACTAACTCCCGAATCATTTGGTGTTCATCTACTATCTGTCAACCGGAGAAGGAGGTCCTTCCAGGAAGATAAATGGTGGACACATTTGTTGCAGGGGTACAGATGGGCAACTTGCCAAATGCGGTGCACCTGGTGGGGTGTTCCGCCCGACCACAGTTGACAGGTTCAGTCCTTCAACTTGCAAGGTGTCGGGCGCCGGACCCCTGACCTTTTATGGAGAACAGGCACCACATACCCAACATGATGCCCTTTTGAATCATGAACTGTCTGTCATATCAACACTAAGCCAGTGATGTGCGTTCATGTTATCCATCTAAATGAGAGTTCACTCCGACTTGTGGTGTGTACCCCGACAACACCACAAGCAATGTCCAAGAACTGCTAACCTACGGGATCTGGAGTTCAATTTTGTTTCTTGAGTGCGAAACTCTGCTCGAAACAGATCCAAATCCAACAGGAAGTCCCACCACAGACCATCAAACCTTCCCC